CCTTTCCCCAACAGAGCAGTAAATAAACCCAACCCATACAATGTGGCAACAGCAAGGTTTGGGAAAAATATTCAATATTCCTCCTTGTCCGTCTCATTATGAGATGATTACGAGGATTTAGATTCAGCAGTAGGGACAGAAAGTAGAGGGTGGTGAGATTTTGTTTTACTGCTTTGAGAAAAATATGACCACAGACAAATCCCCAGCAGCTTCTCCCTGACACTCCACCACAAATCCAAACAGCTCTCTTAGGGCAAGGAGCACAGGTAGGACTGGGGTTTGTTTGGATAAAGAGGAGACAGGAGTGTACCAGCTGAGACTGACCTGCAGCACAGAATAAAACCCCTTCTGGTTCAGGTGTCCCATGATGTTTGCACAGATGTGGTTCATTGCAGGCCTCAGGGTTTCACCTTTGGGTTAAAGCACTGGTGTCACCAAAACAGCATCACAGCCCCACTCTGCACTCCCCCACACACAGCACAGCAGTGTGGAACTGTCCAAGCCCTCCTTGCACAAATCCTTGTCCTTATACACAAACCCATCATTTGGGCAGCATTTCACATGGTCTTGTTTAAGATGGAAGAGTCTAATTTCCTCACCATATTTGTCTATGTGTATTTCCTACCAAAACCCAGAGCTAAAAGCACATTCCCTTATCCTCTAAACACTTGTGTGTGGGGGAATTTGGAATATTATAAAAACATTATAACAACTGTTGGTGTCCTAAGGGAAACATCCTAATGTCAAGGGGAACAGTCTAACTCCAAGGGAACCCTTGTGTTGTGCAAGCACAGAGGATTTTAATAGTGAGTCCCAAACCTTTTCCCCGAAGGATTTTCCAGGTCGAAGTGTCTGTGAAGGTGACGAGCATTGTGAGGTGCAGATTGACCAGTCTGGAGTCCTGCAGGATGTCAGGCTGTGATAACAAACACCAGGGTTAATAAACCTAATTATCTTTGTGCCAACTGTTAAGTGCTGGGAGAGAAAACACAAAGAAAACAGTCCTTACCTTGAGCTGCTTGAGAAATTCACAGCAAAACCACAAAATATCTTTGATCTGCTTTATCCATAGCAGTGTGAGATCCTTGGAGAGAGCCAGGGACACGTACCACACCTGAGGAAGGGGGATACACTCCATGATCAGTGTTTGTGCTTGGCAGAGCACATTGCCAGAAGTTTTGGAACTGACCCCAGATGTGGGACCAAGATACTTCTCTCCCCAGATTCCCTGGTCAAAGGACACCACCCACCCCAGAATCAACTGCCCTTTAACTCCCACGGCTGTACACAATAAAAACATCAGAGCAATACTAAGGGGCTTGTCCAAACTTTCACCATGGAATCCCTGCAGAGTTCAGAAGCTTCTAAAAGCTAAAAATCTAAATATCACTCAAGTAAATCCCCACACATACAATAATAACAAACAACCCCCTCCCCCCACCAAACCAAACCCCTCCTGCTGACCTTGGGTTCGTTCTCCACATCCATGCTGTTCAGGATACAACGGCACAGCTTTTCAAATCTCTGGGGAAATAATAAGGTGGGATTAGTCCTGACTACAGGAAGGGCTAATCTGGAAAAGCACGAGGAACAGCTCAGCAGAGGGAGCAAGATCTCCCTGGATCAAACAGCAAGTGTTCCACACACACACTCCCTCCAGCCAGGGCCGATGGCTCCTTCTCTGGGAGCACATGCACACATTGTGCTGCTGCTGGGCAGAATTCCCTCCTTGAGCACAGGAGGAATTCCTGCAGCCTCCCTGCTAAACTGCCTCCCTCACCAGCACCAGGGAAAGCATCTTCCTGCAGGGGTTCAGCTAGAACAGCTTGGTGCCAAGGAGTGCAGCACTGTCCCAGATTCCTTGGACATCCTGGCAGAGCTCGGCCATCACATCCACAATGCCTGAATTATCATTTCAGTCCAGTTTTATGTGTTCAGGCCATGTATTTCCCATGTGCTTGCAAGGTATAAAGCCACTCTGAGCTAAGGAACTGGCTGCTGGGGTTATCCCAGCTGAGAGCAGTGTCTAGAAATGGAGTGGGAAGGAGCAGAGTCCAGTCCTTGGCTCAGCACAGAATGGACTCGCTGCTGGAAGGGAAGGGAGAAGAGGAACTAGAAGGGATTATTTCAGCAAAGCACCCAATTGCTGCAGTGCAGAACTTCAGAAGGATGCCAGGCACTTAAAAAACGTAAAATGCACAGGGCTTTTTATGATGTTCTATCTACAGAAAACTGCATTTGTAGCACAGATTTCAATGGAACAGAGACTGAAAAAATCACCCATTGCTGCAATTGAAACAAAGTCTTTCACTTCCCAACTCTTTCCTTACAATCAGCCCTCACAGTTTCCTGGGGTAAAATTCATCATCTCTGGGCTTCACTCTGAACCCACAAATTCAGGGCATGGTCAGAAAGATAAACCCAATATATCAGATATCAACAGATATAAATCAGACACAAATAGCCTCCACTGTGCCAGCACAGCTCGTTGGGAGCTGCCACAAGGTCCCTGCCTGGGGAATTGCAGTGCCAAAACCCTCAGCACTGCTCAGTTCCTGCAGCTGGCACAGTCACCAGGAAAAACATTCACCAAACCATGCCCTGAATACAGAACCAGCACTGAAAAATTCAAGGCATCTCCTGTTTCACTCCTACAGGCAGATCCCTCCAGGAAGGACCAGGAGACAGAGATCACATTTCTGAGGCCAAAATACGTTGCAGGAACCTACAGGATCACTGGATAATGAATTAAACATATTTAACATGTTAAAACATGTCCTCAAAAGAAAAGCAGCAGGTCAGGGCAGTGTCCTCACCTCCTTGTCCTCTTTGGGATTAAACACAAACAGCAGCTTCCTGGCAACTCTGAACACAGACAGAGCACTTCTTTTACTTGAGCCGGATTCATTTGTCCCAAAGAAATCGTCCACCTCCTTCCTATCAAAGTGAGAAAAACGAGTAGTTAAAAACCAAGAAAACTTCTCCAGCTAAGAGCAAAGGTAGAATTCCAGGAGGAAAGGGGAAGGGAAAGGGAAAGGAGAGGAACATTTTACAAGAACCTGGACTGACAGGACAAGGAGGAATGGCTTCCCACTGCCAGAGGGCAGGGTTAGATGGGAGAATGGGAAGGAACAGTTCCCTGTGAGGGTGGTGATGCCCTGGCACAGGCTGCCCAGAGGAGCTGTGGCTGCCCCATCCCTGGAGGTGTCCAAGTCCAGGTTGGATAGGGCTTGGAGCAACCTGGGCTAGTGGAAGGTGTCCCTGCCACAGCAGAGGCTTGGAATGAGATGAGCTTTAACTCCTTCCCAACCCACCCCACCCCATGATTCCATGAATCCCACACACCTGATGTCCCTCTGGAGGCGGCAGCGGCACAGGAACCTCCTGACCAGGGCCTGGAGCTGCACAGCCGCTCGTTCCCTCTCCTTCAGCTCCCGCCGCTCCTCCCGCGCCTGCCGTGCCTTGTCCAGGAACTGCGCCCGGGAGCTCTGGCTGGCACTGAACATGGCTGGGGCTCTGGGGGGCAGACACCTGGAAAACTGGGAGCAGAGGAGGGGGGAAACACACAGGGTAGGGCAATTCTCTGCCTCTGCACTGACTGCAGCAACGTCCAGGGAGGGGAGAACCCGACAGCAGAGGAATAAATGTGACCGCACACAGGCAGGACCCCGTCACGGGGCTGCCCCAGGACACACACACTGACACAGAAACTGCCAGCACAGCCCACAGCTGCTGCAGGCAGGGAGATTTTCAGAGGAAAAAACAAATAAGCCAGCGTTTTGACACTGTTTTCCACTCCTGAACTCCAGCTCCCCTTCCAACCTCCATTACCTTCACAGGTAAGAACAACTCTACAGGCAGGGACACGGGGCAAAGGGCACAAGGGACACTGATTTATTGCCACTCACCAGATAAAGTGCCCAGAGTCAACAAGAACTTTATGAACAGTGACAAGAAACTCACCTGAGGGGTCGCTTCTTCAGGAGAAGTGTTCAGTACTCATTTACACACACACATGATCCCAGCCGGTGCCTTGGGGCAGCTCCTGCACGGATCAGCACATTCCCTGGGGGTGGTTTGGGGGTTTAGACCTTCCCTCTGCAGTTCTAAGTCCTTTGGGCCAGATTTCCCTCTCGGCACACCAGCAAGGGAAGGGTGAGTGGGGAAAGCTCCAGAAGAGGAGAAGCAGCACCAGGGCTATGGGCAGTGGCAGCCGGGTGGAGGGATAACTCCATGTGGGAAGGACAAGACGATCCAGGGCCGCGGGGACCGGCGGGATCCGAGCAGGTGCCACCCCCGAGATGTGGGGGCAGGACCGGGAGCCACCACAGCCCCCGAAGGGCCAGGCCGTGAGCGAAGCAGCCACGGAGCCCCCCGGGCCCCTCTCACAGCGCCCCGCAGGGCGCCTCTCACAACTCTCCCGGACCCCTCTTACAGTCCCGCCGGGCCCCTCTCACAGCCTCCTCGGGACCTCCTCGCAGCCCGCCTGGGACCACCTCGCAGCCCGCCTGGGACCACCTCGCAGCCCGCCTGGGACCACCTCGCAGCCCGCCTGGGACCTCCTCGCAGCCCGCCTGGGAGCACCTCGCAGCCCCCCGGCCGCCCTCAGAGACCTCCCCCAACCACCCAGTCCCTTCCCAGCTGCCCAATCCCGCTCACAGGCCCTCCCACCCCGGGCCCAGGCTCTCTCCGCGCCGCTCCCGGGCCCTCACCGTTGTCCCCGGCGGACACGGGGCCGGCCGGGCCGGGCCGAGCGGCCCTGGACCTCTCGGGACCCCCCCGGTCCCTCAGGCCGCGGCCGCAGCCCTCCCCGCACCCCGGGTGCGCTCCCCGGGTCCGGCCGCCAACCCGCCCCGCCGCTGCCGTTCCGCCCGTTGCTCACCGGCTCGGCGCGGGGAGAGCAGCCGGCGCCGGGCCCCGCTGGCACCGGGAAGGCTGGGCCGGGCCGGGCCAAACCGGGTCGGGGCGGACGGGCTGGGCCAAACCGATGAGGCGGGAGAGCAGCGCGGCAGAGCCCGGCGGGACATCGGGAGGATTTGGGGGGCGCACCCGGGCGGGGCCGGAAGGACGCGAGGGGCGGAAGTTCCCCCGCCCGCCTCGCGCTCTGTCGGTCCGAGGGGCTGCGGCCCGTTCATGGTGAGGGGACGGGGACGGGGACGGGGGTGAGGGGATGAGGGGAGGCTCCGGCCGCGGGAGGCACTGAAGGGGGCGGGGGCCTTGCCAAGGAGTGCGTGCGGAGGCGCTGCCCTGGGGAGGGTTGGGGTGCGGCAGGATTTGGGGGACCGGCCCTTGCGGTGGGATATGGGGCGGGGGGAGAGGGGACGATGTTCGGCTCCGGGGTTGGGGTGCTCAGAGAGGGGGAGCAGGTCCAGGACCCCCGGAGTCGGGGTGCTCGGTTCGCACGTGTCCAGACCCCCCCGGGCGCCCCCCGGCCTGGGGCCGATTGTTTGGGGAGGGCAGGGCTGGGGTTTGGGGAGGGCAGGGCTGGGGTTTGGGGTGCAGCCCCCCAGCTCTGTGCCGGGGGGATGGCAGGGTGCTGGGCTGAGGCTGCTGTCTGTGCTCCCCTGAGAGCCCCGGGCACAGGGACCATCCCTGCCCATCCTGCCCCTCACCCTGGGCGCACAGCACAGACACACAGCCCCAGCTCCGTGGGGATCTGTCACGGGACAGCGTCCTGTTTAGTGGCAGTGCAGCAAAACTCATTCCAGGAAGTGTCATCCAAGTGCTGTGGAAGGGCTGGGAGCTGGATGTGCAGGGATGGGGGTGTTAATCATCCCACTCTGTCCCTGTGAGGCAGAAGTCCAGGGAGACTCAGGGTGATTAAGGATTTGTTGTTAGCGGCTCTGGAGCATTTGTGGAGCTGAGCCAACCTGTGCCTGTTCCAGTGTGACCTCCTTAGCTCAGGGACAGGGAATGTGGCTGGGGGCCACTCTGTGTGGGGTCTGCAGGCACAGGGACTGGGGAGTGCTGGATGGTGGGATTTGGTGTGTGGAGAAGTGTGGGAGGGCAGGGAACAGAGTGGCAAGCTCATGTGTGCTCTCCCTGGAACCACGCGTGCTCTCTGGAGAGCCATCTGTGCTCCAAGGGAAAAAAAGCCTTGAAAACCGTCTGCATTTTGACATTATCTGCTCCAGTTGTGTGTGTTGGGAATTGCCCAATTACCTCCGGGATTACTGATGGAGTAAGAGCTTGAGCTGCAGGAGTTGTGTAAGAAATGAAAGCAGTTGTTGTGGCAAAGCGTTGGCTTTGCCATGTAAGACCCAGCTTAGCATTCCCAGGAAAAACCCTGAGGGAAAAAAAAAATCAGGCCGAGTCGATTTCTGCCCTTCAGTTTCTGACAGTCGGAAACGAAACAAACCCAAAGGTCTGAAACGTTTGAGAACTTCACGAAGGGGCCGAGGGGAGCCGGGGGGTGTGAAACACCCGCTGGGAACGCGGGGCTGGGGAGTCACACAGTGGGGGGCTCCTTCCTTGACCCGGGAACTCCCTCCTTGCAGGAAGAGATGTCGGGAGAGAGCGTGGTGAGCTCCGCGGTGCCGGCGGCGGCGACGCGCACGACGTCCTTCAAGGGCACGAGCCCCAGCTCCAAGTACGTGAAGCTGAACGTGGGGGGGGCCCTGTACTACACCACCATGCAGACCCTCACCAAGCAGGACACCATGCTCAAGGCCATGTTCAGCGGCCGCATGGAAGTGCTCACGGACAGCGAAGGTAAGGAACGGGCTGCTCCCACCACCCCCACTGCGTCCTCCTGCTGCAGGGAGAGCCACAGGGGGCTGCAGAAACATCACAGAACAGAGAGCAACTTCCAGTTGTAGGGCTGGGTAGCTGGTCATGGGGGATGGAGGAACTCTGCTATGGGGAACGGCTGGAGAGAGTTGGGATTGTGCAGCGTGGAGAGGAGGAGCTCAGGGGTGACCTGATTGTGGCCTTTCAGGATCTGAAGGAGAAACATGGAGAGAGACTGTTTACAAGGGTCTGGAGGGACAGGACAAGGGGAATGGCTTCAAACTGACAGAGAGCAGGGTTAGATGGGAGACTGGGAAGGAATCCTTCCCTGTGAGGGTGGAAAGGTTGCCCAGAGAAGCTGTGGCTGCCCCATCCCTGGAAGTGTCCAAGGCCAGGTTAGACGGGGCTTGGAGCAACCTGGGCTAGTGGAAGGTGTCCCTGCCCGTGGCAGGAGAGCGGACTAAATATCTTTAAGGTCCTTGCTAACCCAAACCTGTCTGTGATTCCATGGTTCCATGATTATACAGCTGGGAAAGATGTGGAACAAAAGGCATGGGTGACTTGAGTGGGTGCCTGGACGCCAGTAGGACACTAAGAAGGGCCAGTGCTCCTGCCAGGCCCAGGTAGCACCTGGAACATCTTTTCCTTTTGAAATACTGACACGAAAGCTCAGAAGCCCATGGAAAATGGTGGGGATTGTGATTAGGAATGCAGGAGTTAGGACTTGTGTGTTCACTTTGAAGCCCAGGAGGCTGTTCCCTCTTATCTCCTTAAATATAAAACTTGCTCTGAACATTGGGGGGGTGGTTATGAGCTAAAGCCTCATTTTTTAAAAATTTGTTTTCTTGTCAGCCTGTTGTTTGTTTGCTTCACTAAAACTGAACCAGTTGCAAAATTTTCAGAGAATTTGTAGTTTTATATCAGCATTCCCATGTTTTGGGCATGTCACAGAGTTTAAGTGGAAGCCTAGCTTTATTTCTGTGCTGATGTTTTGCCCATAAAAATGTTTATGGACTGGGATACCTTTGAATTAACAACAGCTACTGCAAAGCTGAGCCTGGAGGTTCAAAACACCTTTTTGGGACTGGTTAATTATTATTTGAAAATTTTGTTTGAATTTGCTGGAGGTGTAGAAAATTTGGCACATGGTGAGAGAGATTGGACTGACTTTTGAGTGCTTTGGAATAGTCTGTATTTAGAGGCTTGTAGGGCTCTTGTGATAGGAGGAAGTGGATTTGGAGGAGAAAAAAATGTAAAAAATACAGTCTAATTAGCTGAATATTCCTGTTTTAGCCAGAAGTCTTTATATTTAAGCTGGGGGAAACAAAGCTGTCTTGTTCCAGGTGTTATCCCATGCCAGGATAAAGCCATAATGTGGGTCCTGTGGTTTGGGGCTCCAGATCAAAGGGTCTCTGGGATACTTCTCATGGGTACAGACCAGGAAGGTTGCATAAAAAAAGCCAGTCTGTGAGCCAGATTGGAGAAAACAATTGTCAAAGGGGAATCAATGCCCTGACTGGGAGCACTGGAGGGGTGGAAATGTTGTGAGCCCCTTCCCCTCACTGCTAAATTTACTTCGAGCAATTCCAGCAGGATCCTCCTGTCCCTCCCTAAAGCTGCTCTGTGCTTCACTAAATTTGATAATTCCAGTCTTCCTAAGGCTGGAAATGGATTGGAAATTCCAAATTTTTGGGAGCCCACCCTGGCATGATCCCAGAGCTTCCTCCAGGCATCCTGGGCAGGTCCATGAGGGCTGGTACATCCCATTCCCGGGGCTCAGAGGCCCTGGAAGTGCAGGTACTGTTTGCACCCCAAATCTGAGAGTAACTGAAGTTTCTTCTGCTAAAATGTCACGTCTGAGACGTAAAATCCCAAATTTATTTTGCTGTGACTCCCACAGTGTCTGTGTGGGATTGTTCCATGAAGCCAGTTCATGTTTTAATAGGAATTTGATACTTCCTGTATGTTGTAACCCAGACACTCCCATGGCAGCAGTTCTTGCTTTATCTCCCCTTGCCTGGAAACTGGGACAATAGCATTGGGGCTGTCAAAGGAAACACTTTTTATCTGGAATTCTTCAAAATCCTGCTAATTGGTCACACCCAAAACCTGGCACAAAGCAGAATGTTCCCTAGGAAAAGAAGCCAGAATGTTTCTTAGGAAAAAAAGCCAGACTTGGGGAGAAACTGGAAGGAGTTTAACCAGTCTGGAATGTGGCACATGGGGTCCTGCTCTGTGTCTGGATCCTTCTGACCTCAGACACAGCTTCCAGCCCCTTCAGCTGGACAATTCCAACCTGCTGCTCCTCAGGCTGTAGGAGAAAAGTCTGGAGTTCTCTGACTGTGGGTGGCAGATGATTCTTTTCAGCTTAGAATTTGCTGTAGCAAAGCAGCGTATTTGGAATGTTTTATTTGCGTGGTTATGAGCAGAGAGAAGGATTTGAGTTTTCCAGGTGCATCCACCTGTTTTCAGCTCTCTTTTGCTGCAGTGGGATTTTTCCCTCGCTCCCTGCTGCTGTAGCCAGCTGATGGAGATGCTGTTCTTTGTCCAGCTGCTGATAAGAGACTGGAGCATCAGGCAGTGTCCAGTGTCAGGCTCCTGTTTCACCTGTCAGAGCTTGGCTGGAAAATGTTGTCTGGTTTGGCTGGAGTGTTTGGATCCTGTCCTGGACACTTCTTGTAAGACAGAAGGGTAACTCCCTGAAGGTCTGATGTGTGCATGTACCAAGGAGTGAGGGGAGGGGGGAATTCTGCCCCTCTGCCCTGGTGAGACCCCCTGCAGTGCTGATCCAGCTCTGGGGTCCCAGCACAGGAAGGACATGGAGCTGTTGGAGCGAGTCCAGAGGAGGCACCGAGATGGTCAGGAGGATGAGGCAGCTCTGCTGTGAGGAAAGGCTGAGAGAATTGGGATTGTGCAGCCTGGAGAAGAGGAGCTTTGGGGTGACCTAATTGTGGCCTTCCAGGACCTGGAGGGGGTACAAGAAACATGGAGAGAGACTGGCAAGGATCTGGGAGGGACAGGACAAAGGGAATGGCTTCAAACTGACAGAGAGCAGGGTTGCATGGGATACTGGGAAGGAATTCTTCCCTGTGAGGGTGATGAGGCCCTGGCAGAGGTTGCCCAGAGAAGCTGTGACTGCCCCATCCCTGGGAGTGTTCCAGACCAGGTTGGACGGGGCTTGGAGCAACCTGGGCGAGTGGAAGGTGTCCCTGCCCATGGCAGGGGGTGGGATGGGATGGGCTTTGAGGTCCCTTCCCACCCCAAACCATCCCATGATTCTCTGATACCTACAGCTCTTGGATTCTGTATCCTGCCTAAATGGATACAGGATGGCCTTGTAACACTGCAATTAAAAACCAGCTCTAACAGACTTCAGCTCAACCCACTTGTTGGCTCTGCCGTGGCTGAGCGTCACTGGGGTCACTTCCCTGAGTCATCTCGTTTGGGCTGTTTGGGTGAAACAGAAGGTTTTTAAAGCTGTTTTAGTGGTCACTCGTGTTTTGCAACACTGCTTCAAATGTTTTCTCATTCCCCCTCCCTCCACATGGAAATGAGCAATTCTGCTTTGATTTCACCATCTGTAAACATGGAGTTGCAGCAGATTTTTCCAGCCTACAGAGGAATCAGAGGGGATAGCAGAAGTTTGGGGATGGTAATTCTGCCCTCAGCTTGCCCTTTACCTCCCTGGGTGTTGGTGTGCTCTGGTGAACTTGGGCAGCAGCTGCACTTGTGGAATATGGATGTCCTTGTTCATTGCCATGGCTTGTGCTTCCTCTTTGCCACAGAATCCCACAATGGTTTGAGTGGAAAGAACCTTAAAGATCACCCAGTTCCAGCCCCGCTGCCATGGACAGGGACAGCTTCCATCACATCTCCCACTTAAATGGGATTTCTTGCTTCCTGCATTGCCAAATGGGCTTTTTTCTGCTCCACTTGGATAAGTGTAATGTGTTCATTAGTCTGGATGAGTCCTTTGTTCCATGATTTCTCTGTCTCTAGTTCTCCCTCCTGCTTTCCAGTTTGTTCCTAGTCTGTTAAATCACCCTTTGAGCACACATTGTGTGTTCTGGAAACAGCAGGAATGAGGGAGATGGGAAACCTGGAGTAAAACTGCTGCAGAGTGTCTCAGTTTCCCTCAAAACAGCATGAAAGGGCCGTGTTCCCTTTCCAAACCGAACCAAATGTTCAGACTTTACTCGTAATTCCATTCATGCAGAACACCCAGGGTCTGCCTTAACCTACTTTCCTTATTTGTCCAAAATATGACTCCTTCCCCACAAGCGTTTCCTCGCTGCATTCCTGAGCCTCAGCCTGAGAGTGACCATCTGTTCAGGCAGGGGGACTCCAGCCTCCACTGCCTCGTGTTCCTCAGGGTCCTGATTCCAGCACCCAGAGGTGACATGTGGATCCTGCAATTGCAGTTGTCCAGGGAGAGCTCTGGTTGGAGCTCTTTTTGTGCACTCTGGAGAAGAGAAGGCTCTGGGGAGACCTCAGAGCCCCTTTGAGTTGGGGTCTCCAGAGCTGGAGAGGGACTTTGGACAGGGGCCTGGAGTGACAGGACAAGGGGGAATGGCTTTAAGCTGAAGGAGGGAAATTTAGATGAAATATTGGGAAGAAACCTTCCCTTTGGGGGTGGTGAGGCCCTGGCACAGGTTGCCCAGAGCAGCTGTGGCTGCCCCATCCCTGGAAGTGTCCAAGGACCAGGTTGGACGGGGCTTGGAGCAACCTGGGCTAGTGGAAGATGTCCCTACCTGTGACAGCAGAGTAGACTAAATAGTCTTTAAGGTCCCTTCCCACCCAAACCATTCCATGATTTTCTTCCCACCGTGGTCCGTACATGGCAGTGCTGTTGAGCTCCAGGGCAGGGGCTGTCCCTCTGTCTGTCTTTCAGCACTTTGACACTGTCAGGGCCTTTTGCCACATTTGCCTCTGCTTGTCCTCACTGTGCTCTTCCCTGTCCCCAGGCTGGATCCTGATTGACCGCTGTGGGAAGCATTTTGGGACCATCCTGAACTACCTGCGGGACGGGGCCGTGCCGCTCCCGGAGAGCCGCCGGGAGATCGAGGAGCTGCTGGCTGAGGCCAAGTACTACCTGGTGCAGGGGCTGGTGGACGAGTGCCAGGCAGCCCTGCAGGTGGGGCCCAGGGCTGGGGAGGGGCTGGGGGTGGGCAGTAAGAATTTCTGCTGGTCTCACTTGGTGGTTTCGGAGGCTTGGGATGAAACTGGAACAGTTCATGTCACTGTTGAGCTGCTGTGTGGTCCTTGCTCCCACAGAACAAGGACGCGTACGAGCCGTTCTGCAAGGTCCCGGTGATCACCTCCTCCAAGGAGGAGCAGAAACTCATCGCCACCTCCAACAAGGTGAGAGGGGCCCGGCTGTGCCCTGGGGACAGCTGGGGGTGTTCAGGTGAGAAGGCTCTTGGGAGACCTTAGAGCCCCTTCTGGTGCCTAACGGGGCTCCAAGAGAGCTGGAGAGGGGCTTTGGACAAGGGATGGAGTGCCAGGACAAGGGGGAATGGCTTCCCACTGCCAGAAGGCAGGATTGGATGGGAGATTGGGAAGGAATTCTTGGCTATGAGGGTGGTGAGGCCCTGGCACAGGCTGCCCACAGAAGCTGTGACTGCCCCATCCCTGAAAGTGTCCAAAGCCAGGTTGGATGGGGCTTGGAGCAACCTGGGATAGTGAGAGTTGTGCTTGCCCATGGCAGGGGGTGGTGATAAAGCACAGGGCAGGTGAGAATAGCTGAGGATCCAAAGCCAGAGGATATATCATCTATAAGAGTAGCTGAGGATGCAGTCCCAGAAGGGGGTCAGGAGGGATTGCAGCCCCACTGCCAAACTGTGCATGCACAGGTTGGCAGCAACAGCACTAACACCACCACCAAAATCCTGCTGGGAATTCTGGAGTGTCTCCGCGGGGCCTGGGGCTGGGCTGAGGTTCCAGCTCTTGCTGTGCTTCCTGTGACTGATCTGAGCTTTGTTTCTTACAGCCAGCAGTGAAGTTGCTGTACAACAGAAGCAACAACAAATATTCCTACACCAGGTAAGAGACTTCAGCTTGTCTTGGAAGTTTTTCATGGACTAAAATCCACAAGAACCACTTCCTTTTCCTTCCTCCAGACCTAATGACACATTGGTGTTGACATGCACTCCAGTTTTTCCGAATTAATTTCAAACTTGAGTCAGAAGGGAGCCTGCTACCATCAGTGGAAGGCTGAACCTGTGCTATTCCTGTGCCAGAGGAGTTCCTCTAATCCTTAGGTGCAGCTGGCAGAGGCTTCTGGAAGCTGTCTGCTTTCTGTCTGCTGTCTGCTTTCCCATGGATTGCAGTGTGATAGTTGAGTGCAGGAAGCCTTCCATGGTGTATCCATGGCATAACACTCTGTCCATCCAGCTGGTGCTGAGCTGAGGAATGGCTTTATTTGGGCCACAGGATTTTGCACACAGCTGAAATGGCCTTGGATAGTTGACATGTTGCTGTTGAGTTGCTGCTGGTTCAGAAGCAGGTTTTCCTGCTCGTAGTAGTGAAATAGCAAGAATTAATGTCTTGGCTTTGCCCCATCCCTGGAAGTGTTCAAGGCCAGGTTGGACAGGTCCTAGTGGAAAGTGTCCCCGCCCATGGCAGGGGAGCGGAACTGGATCTTTTAAGGTCCTTTCCAACCCAGACCATCCTATGATCCTATGACACTGTAAGTGAAAGGAAGCTGGTTGTTTGGGGGCTGTAAATGCCCCTGCTCTGTTCCATGTGCCCTGTAAATCCCCGCTGCCTCCATCCCCCAGCAACTCCGACGACAACATGCTGAAGAACATCGAGCTGTTCGACAAGCTGTCCCTGCGGTTCAACGGGCGGGTGCTGTTCATCAAGGACGTCATCGGGGACGAGATCTGCTGCTGGTCCTTCTACGGGCAGGGCCGCAAGATCGCCGAGGTTTGCTGCACCTCCATCGTCTACGCCACCGAGAAGAAGCAGACCAAGGTACGGGGAAAGCAGCGGCTGCCTGGCCATGGCACGTAACACCGGGGCAGTTGTGATGTTCCCTAAGGCACCTTCAGTCCAGCTCTTCATCTTTAGGCTAAACCTGTGCATTTAAGCAGGTTTGGGGGTTGGAACTAGGTGATCTTTAGGGTCCCTTCCAGCCCACATCATTCAGTGGTTCTACATCCGTGTGTAAAGGGGGATGCAGGCGAGCACAGGAAAGACCTGTCTGAGCCTGCCCTGCGTGCAGGGTGATTTTGGGAAAAGCCCAGGTAGTTGCAGGGTCTCAAAGGCTGGAAGCAAATAATGGAATGGAAAGGGTTGTGCCAGAAATAATTTCGGTGGTCGGAGTGCAATTAAGAAGTTGTAAAAACAGGTGTCAGGAGTTAAAACTGAGGTAATCTGGTGCGTGCAGTGACAGGCAACAGGTGAGAGTGACCTTCTCTTCCTTGGGTGTGCAGGTGGAGTTCCCAGAAGCCCGAATTTATGAGGAGACACTGAACATTCTGCTCTACGAGTCCCAGGACGGGAGGGGACCTGACAATGCACTCCTGGAGGCCACAGGGGGGGCAGCAGGTCGGTCCCACCACCTGGAGGAGGACGAGGAGCGGGAGCGCATCGAGCGCGTGAGGAGGATCCACATCAAGCGCCCCGACGACAGGGCCCACCTGCACCAGTGAGCCAGGTGAGCCCCGGGCCCCAGCTCTGGGCAAGCAGCAGAGGACCAGGAGGCTCACCTTCTACCCAGCACAGTCTGTAAATTATGTTTTGTAACAAACTCTAGGTTATTTGGGGTATTTAAATGCTGTAGTTGTAGGACAAGAATAAACGAGGTTATTGGGCGTACGGTGGGTTCTGTAAGGGCCTGTTGAGCAGCTGGAGAAATGCCCTGAATTTTTAGCACTCTTGTTGTTGCTGTTTTGTGCTAGAGAGGAGGAGGGCTGGCTGCCTTTGGCTTTGGTAATTATCCTGCACTTTAAACACAAAACAAAACAACAAACAAAATGCTCAGCCAGCCCAGCCGTCCTCCTTCCCTCCAGGCACTTCCTGACCCTCACTCCTGGCACTCAGGAAAGGCTGGGATCTGGACACAAAGCTGCTGCACAGCTCTCTGTCTCCCAAGTCTGCAGGGCTGGGAGCTCGGGAGTGCCTTGGGGTGACTCCCTGAAGGACAAATGGCACTGGCTGGTGATGTTCCTGGAGTGCTGGGAGCAGAGGGACCCCTCAGAGCAGGGGGGCTGCTCCCTTGGGCCTGGCTGTGGCTCCACACAGCTCCCTGGATCTCCTCCAAGGGTTCAGTGGAGCTTCTGCAGCACTGAGGGGAGACCCCTCCCTGCTTTATCCCTGCGGTTCAAGGTTAAAATTCCTCCAAAAAGAGGAGGATCAGGAGCAAATTGTCCGTGATTGCTTTCCTTTAGGGTGATGTTGGTACTGGTTAGTGCTTAGAGCTTCTGCCTGAGCCTGGAGCTGGGGAGTTGGTTTCCAGCAGCTCCCAGGTCAGCCAGGTGTGTTCTGTGCTGTGTAGGAGTCACAGGAGTTACTCAGAAGTCACAGCAGGTTCAGTGCCTCTGTGGCAGGGGAGCATTGGTGGGGGGGTGGGCAGAAGTTCCCTTTGGAACTGATCCAGGAGCATTGCCTTGCTCTGAATGAGGGCAGCACTACGGGAAAGAGCAGCAGACAGTGGCCCAGAGGCAGATAATCCTTGTTTGACTGTATCCTGAGCATATTCCAAGTCTTTTCAGCAGTGGCAGCTGTGTGTGGAATGGCAGAGTGTGGAGAAGGCAGTCTAGTTTTCTGAGAGTGCTTTTGTGTTGTAAATGAATATTTCATCTACCTCCTCAGCTCCTGTTGCCTGTTGTGGAGTCAAGTGACAGTGATGGTGGGAGATGGGGTATCATTCCATAGGGCTGGAAGCAGAGCCACAGCTGTGATAGTTCAGGTAACAAATCCTGGGAGGGAAAGAAACCCGAGGTAGGAAGTGTTAAACTCCCAATTCAGCAGTACTGTGGCCAACACTGGAGCACTCTGGCCTGGGCTAGAGTTTCCTTTGACCCTTTCTGTGGAATATTTAGCACTGCCCTTAACAGCCAGAGTGCTCTGGAGCAGCAGCTCTGTGTTCCTGCTCCAAGGATCCCTGCTCCTGGCTCAGGGCTGCTGAGGGCATGTGAACAGTTACAAACCAAAGGTGTTGCAGAACCACCAGCCCTGTTACCCCAAGGCTTCTGTTCCACAGAGCAGTTACACCCCAGTTACTCAGAGCTTCTCTGGAGGGGCTGGAATTCAGTATGAAGTGTTTGTACAATTTTGGATCATCAAGTAGAGCTAAAAAATTTCAAAATTAAGCTGAGGACATCTTTCTAGTAACCAAAGACTTCTCTAAGTCACAGGCAGCTGGTGTCTGTGGCAGGTGGGGTTGTTGTTCCTGTCTCTTCTTTTTTCTTCAGCTACTGATTTATAAGAGCTCAGCAGTTACCTTGAGGTTCAGCAGCTTCAGTTCTGTCTTGACAGTTCAGGGCTTCTAGTTTGAGTTGTACTTACACCTGTTTGGGTTTGTAGGAGTCCAGAGTGCAGGGGCTGAAGGAGCCAGAGCCTCTCCCCTGCTGGCTGTGATAAGCTGGGGAGTGAGGAAGGGAAGTCCTGGATTGCTGGTTCTCCAGCACTGTGTACTTTGACACTTATTGGTGTGTTACTGGGCTGTTGTGGGTTTCTGACCTTCTGTAACAGACCTGCTGCCCCTGAGGGGTTGAGTCTCTGCATCTCAGCAGTGGGTGAACAGGGACCACCAGCCCATGAGTGTAGAACATCAACAGTCCTGCAGCAATCCCTGCTCCCTTCAGCTGAGCTGGGTCTGACCTACCTGGGAGACCCCAGACAAACTCCAGCCGTGTCCCGTGGGGCAGAGCAGGTTCAGCTCCAGGAGGTGACACCAGTGCTAAGCACCTGACAGGTCACATCTCTGTGATTAACTTCTCTGTAAATAGAGTCTTAACTGGCTTTAGGCTTTTCTTGTTCGGGTTTTGCAAACTAAGTTCTTTAAAAAACAGGGAATGGTTGTTTTTAATCTTTGTACAGCGGTTTGTAGAGCTGTTGGTTTAGTAAAGTCACTCCAGGAGAGTTTAAGTTCTAATTTCAGTTTTGTTCCTGTGTTTGTGGGCAGACTCTGCCTTAACACACTCCTGAGTTCACCCTCTGTGCTGGAGTGGTGCACAAAGCTGTGCTGTGGTGTTGGGGTGTCCTTTACCTCCTGCCCCGTCCTTGAGTGCACACTCTGGTAATGCCATTGCACAAATGCTCTCAGCTCCTGAGCCTCGTTACTCTAAGTGGTTTTGCCTCAGCTCTCAGGTGCAGGTGGGGCTCAGGGCAGGTGTCCTGGGCACAAGCAGCTCTTCAGATTATCCCAGGGACAGCAGACATGTCTGCTTCCCTTCTCCAGCCACCAGCAGTGACAGCCCAGCCAAGGAGAGCTCAGCAAAGTCTTCCCTGGGGAGAGATATTGTGGACCTGCAGCTCATAACACAGGTGGGGCTGCAGGAGAGGTGGCAGTGACCACCCCAGGCTGACACCTCCCCATCGGTGTCCGTGGAGCTGGAGCACCAAAGCAGCTGCTCCTGCACTCCCAGAAGCAGGTTTAGATCCCCCTGAGCCCCACGACCTTTGGAAGGCTCTGAGCTGCCATCTCACCTTAGAGCAAAGTGTAGGTAGAACCCTTCAGTCTTGTTTCATGGACAACAGCAGATTCCTGTTCTGCACAATCATTCCCTCCTGTTCAGACTTGGGCACAAAACAAGCTTCCGCTGGATTTCATTGTATGGTTGATGTTTGCAATATGTACTTTTGTTTTTTTTTAATATAACACAATAAATTAGAAGAAATTTCATATTTACATGTGAGTCACTTTATTATTTGTTGGAAGCAGAATGGCCTCATGGGCCATGGAGCTGGGGAGGAGCTCTGGGGGAGAAATATCACTTCCTTGTGGATGTTAATTTGATCCCCCCGGGGATTAAAGGCAGCAAGTCAGGGACCTGAGCATGGGGAATTTTACTTGTAATTGTGCTGAAGGGACAAGAGGTGGATTTGGTTTAAGTTGTCCCTTTTCACTTGGTGGTGTGATGATGCTATTTTGATTGGGGAAGGGGGGAATTTTTGTTTCGGTTGGTTGGGTTTTTTTACATAAGTGAAGGTTGTGTGGTGAATGAGGATTTCTCAGTTTAACTGCAGTTTCAGCTCAACCAAAGCACCACCAAAACCATCTTCACCAGCTCTGCTGTTGCCCTGACCCTCCTCTCATCATTCTGAGCTAAAGGCTTTGCCAATCTGCCCAGAGAAAAGGTGTTTTCAGACCAGAGTTAACGTCACTGATCTGCATTCTTTGCAGTTCTCCTGAGTTGTGACTCAAAGTACAGCTAAAGAAGCCTTTTGGCTTCTGTCTTAATCCTTCCTGACCAGTCAGAGCTCTCAGAGATGGACATTTTACCTGTGGGATTGCAGCTTTTGGTTTAAACACGTCCCTGTGAGCATCTCTGCTCAGTGGAAAGTTACAGCAACATTGTGGATTTTATTTAGCTATAGTTGAATAGTTTTAAGCTATAAAAAAAGAGCCTAAAAGATGCAAGCAAACTCTCAAATCACAGCAGCCCTGTGGCATCAGAGATTCCAGGGGAGATGTGAGGGCTGGTCTCATCCTGCAGGCTCCTTTCTGCTCCCAGCCAAGGCAGGGCCCAGGAACAGGAACTGGTTCTCATCAAGACTTTACCTGGGTTGACACCTGGGATGAGAAAAAGGAGTCATTAAGTTAGGGATAGCTGACCAGTGCCCTGAGGGTATTACAGCTCCCTGGAATTCTTCCTTGGAGCTCTCAGCTCCTTGCATGGCCTGCTTGGGTGACAAGAAGTGCCCTCCCCTCCATCCCCCAACCGACTCCAGGCATAACTTGGTTGAGGGAGGCAATAAGAGGTGGAAAATGTCACCTGAGACCTCATTTTGCAGGTGCTTGTTGAATTTGGGTCAGGTTAAATTCCCTAACTGACCAAGCCATGGGTGAGCCTTGCTCCTCCATCCCTGTGCCAGCTCGAGGGCAAGCAGCAGTTGCAATTCCTGCACAATTCATGGAGCTGCAGCTCCCAGCACAGCCAGAACCAGCTGTTGTGCATCACCTCACGCAGGCAAACACTGGTGAGCAGTGACTCCTGCACCTCTGCTCTGAGAGGACTCAGCTCCTCCTGAACTGCCACAAAGGGCACTGGGCTGTGCTCTCTGCAGGTGTAGGGTGTCACAGGAGGAAGCACAAGGTGTATTCCCATGCTCAGATGAGGCCTTACCACTGTTAGTTGTCCATTCTTGTCCTTGAAGACCTGAGGCTCCATCCCCACAGTGAACACCATCGTCCCCTCCTTCCCAGAGCCGATGCGGAACCGGAGGCTGCAAGGACAGAACCCCAGGAGTGCTCTCCCCACAATAGGCTTTACTCTAAGCCCCCTTTATTTCAGTTCCTTGGCAAATCTCCTTAGATGAGAGATCAGAGCACCAGCTTAGGTGAATTTCCTAAACAATTGCATTATCCCCCCCCAGGCTGATGGGTTTGATGAATGGAACGTCCCTGCCTGGCCCAGGCTTTGAATGTTCCTGGTGCAATTAAGCACTAGAAGTTAAGCAGATCTGAGCTGGAGAAAACCACTGAACACACCAAATCTAATTACAGCTGAAAGGCAAAAGCCAGGGAGAAAAGCTGGAGCAGAAGTGCAGGTTTCACCTGCCAGCTCCAATTCACAGGGAGATCAGAGACACAGACCATCCACCTGCCCTCAGCTCGGGGCCGTGGCTGGAAGGATCCTGAGCTCTGCAATCACATCGTGGGCCTCCTCCATTCCTTTGGGAGAGGAGCATTTATCCTGAGGTGACCCCCAGCTTTCCAGCTGGCTTTCCTCAGACCTGGGGTTAATGGGATCCACTGGGAAACCACTGAATTCACAACCTCACACTCAGGACACAGCAGCAGGAACCTGACAAAGTGGTTTTAAAGTGCAATTACCTATAAATAAATTTGGGGTTTAAGCAGCTGGGGCATGGGCAGCTCTCAGAGCAGAGCAGCACACCCAGCAAGGTGCACCCACCATGGAAACAAGCCTCATTAGCCTGGGAAAAAGGTTGGAATGATTTTTAATATATTTTCCCTCAGTGCATCCTATCCTCTCTCTCCTGTGCCTGTGGAAGCCATGGAATGCTGCTGCATTAGACCTGACCAGCTTCGGGCACTGTCTGCTGGGTGAGGGCAATAGTCTTGACCTGAGTAGTCCAGACCTGAAAGGTTTTGAAGCAGGTTTTTCCACAGAATACAGCCTGCCCAGTGGTGCCCATCCATCTTCCCTCCTCACCTTCCCTTCACAACCTTAACGACGCTTTGCTTGTTGGCCAACATGCAGAGCTTCGTCACCGTCTCGAAGACGTGCTCACACTGCAGGATCACATCGCCCTGCAGAGGAGAAGAGAGGGGTAAAGTCACAAAGTCACCTGGCACCACCCCAGAATGTGACCACAGAGCAACGGGGCACTAAGAGAGACTCCTCTGGAATGCCAGAGCAGCGACTGCCTGGAAGAAGTGACTGAATTGAACATCCTTTCCAGGGATTATTTAGGATTTAGAGCAACTCTGGCTCTAAAAAAAAGACAAGAGCATGTGCAGATATGGGAATGGAGCTGGGGAACGGTCTGGAGCACAAATCTGATGAGGAGGAATTAATAAGCATCAGTAATTGTGTAATCATAGTATTTTATAGGATGATATTGGAAGCATCAGCCACAAGACCTTATTTCTAACCACCAGCTCACAGGGGCTACATCACAATTTTCTACCTTCTGTTTGTTGTCCTCTGGAACATGAATGACCACGATCCCATCACTCAGGTTACTGGTGGAGATCCCTTCAAAAGAAATCCAAAATCAGAGGAAAACCCACCAAACCCAGCTCCAGAGGGCAAAGAACTGTGTTCTCTCAGTTACAAAATTCTACTTTCAAGGCTGAAACCCAAACCCTTTGTCCATGCCCCAGGAAAAGTTGTTGCCAGGTAGATCATTGCTCCAAATATCTTTGCAAGACTAAGTTTCAGGAGCTCATCCTTCCCCCCAGGGTCTCTGACAGGACATGAAGCCCCACAACGACTCACAGAATCATCACAGAGTCATGGAATGGTTTGGGTTGGAAGGGACCTTAAAGCCCATCCCGTTCCACCCCCTGCCCTGGGGCAGGAACACCTTCCACTAGCCCAGGTTGCTCCAAGCCCCATCCAACCTGGCCTTGGACAAAGGGCTCCCAGAGTTACCTTTCAACGTGGCGTAGTCGATCTTCTGCTTGACCTTGGCCACCTCCACCACGTAGGCCGAGCTCTGGGTCAGCACCAGGAGCCTCTCCCGAGCCTTGAACCCGTTCCTGTCATATTTTATCACGGGGGTCACATACTGAAAACAACGAGTTGGAATCAGCACTTTCACTGCTGCAGGGCCTGGGCCAGGCAGTTGAGTTTTCCTGGCTGGAAGCAGCTCCGTGAGGAGCAGCTCTGCCCGTGGAGCTGCAGGCCCAGCTCTCAGCAGCTCCTGCCGAGCTCTGCTCACAGGCATCTGGATTCTTTACACTGGGAAATCCAGGTGGAAGAATCCTGCTCTGAGCAAGATGGGGTCCCCTGTGCCCTCTGTGCCAGAACCATGGGAAGTGCACAGACACCCTGGCTCTGCTCCTGCCCTGTACAGCCCAACAGGATGAGAAGTGGAATCTTAAATAACTTACTTAGGTGCATTTTGAGGCCTGCCTCCAATTTAAAAGAAAGGAAATAGTGGCTCCACTGCTATTCATCAGGCCCTGTGTGACCAACCAGCTCCCAGGACTCCAGTGAAGCCAATTCTAAGGGTTCTGTCCTTCCCTTACCTTGATGTTCTCCCCTTGGATGAGCTGCAGCACTTTGGGGTTTATGTCATTCACTTCTGAGGAGCAAACCAGAGAGAGAAACTGAGTGTAGATGACAGATCTACAGCCACAGACAGTTACCACTGCCCCAGTCAACACCAGAGAGCTGCACTGTCTTCATCCCAATTGTCTTTGTCCCCTTGGCACAATCCCTTCCAAAATGAGGGTGGTCACTTCCAGCCACCCCTAAACCCATTCTGATGACTCTCCTGCCTGACAATTAATTCACACTGGGAGTTTCTGCCTGTTCTTGAGTCTGCTCTTGGTTCAGCCCCTGATCCACCCCAGCCCACAGGGAATTCTGCTTGGGTTTCAGGCTCTCTGTCCCACAGGGATCCCAGTAACCCCAGTGTGGGAACCAGTCTGGCAGACTGATCTCTGAGTAGGTGTCATTAGACATGACAGAGGAAGGGAACTCCAACACAGCAGGTGATGCTGCCTCTGCCAGGTGGGAATTTCTCTTGGAAATGAGTCTGTTTGGTCCAACAGACCTTCCCTGAGCAGGAAGGAGCCTGTGGCCGAGGCCCCAGGGGTTGCTGTGCACTCACTCAGCCGGGTGTCCAGGAAGGGCTGGTTGATGCTCTGGACATATCCCTCCTTCTTCCCTTGGAAAACAGCACTGGTCACCACCTTCTGCTGCAACTGAGGTGGGGAAGAACAGCCTTTACCCTCAGAGATCCTCCATCAAGAACATCAGCAGGTGTGATGTGAACACTGTTACTGCCCACCTGACTATGGAATCATGGAATTGTGCTGCATTTCTTCCAACAGCTTTAGGCTATTCCTGTATTACACCAAATAAAGGGGCAGCAGGGACAATCCAACAGATTTTTTCTGATTTATGGATCTTTTCTAATTACATGGATTGCAGTTTTAATGCCATAAGACAAAGCCCCACATGTCTGGAGGAGAACTGCTCCATACAT